TTGGGGATCAAATTTGGGATCTTTTGCTTGCAAGGAAGGCGGTGGAACCACTGAGCTAAATTCCCAGCCCAAAGTCTTCATTTGATACAAAGGAAAAACAGACAGACCTGTAAACATTTTATGAGAAAGAAAAAAAAATACTTTTCTTTTTCTTTTTTTTGTGGTACTGGGGATAGAACTCAGGACCTTGTGCTTGCAAGGCAGGCAGTGGAACCACGGAGCTAAATCCCTGGCCTGTAACTAAAATATTTTTCAAAGCATTCTCCCTGATTCCAAGCTGGTAGAATTTAATTATTTATGTGTTTATTTTTACCTACTTGAAGCTCAGTGTTTTTAGTCCTCACTGTCACCCTGTGGTCATGAGTATTTCATGTTTGTGGTGATGATCATGCCTATTGGCTTTCTGAGCAGCGCCATGGCAAATGGCAAGACTAAATGCCTTGGGCAGGGGATTTAGCTCAGTAGTGCTGCCACGTGCCTCACGAGTGTAAGGTCCCAAGTTTGATCCCCAGTACCGCCAAACAAACAAACAAACAAAAACTCAAGAAAGCAGTCGATCTGTTTTCTAAGAAAGGTTAGTATAATGGGAAAGTGCTGTTTTCAATATAAGAAATATTGGAAAACACTAGGCACAGAAGTCAAGGAATCAAAATGGCATCTCGATGGCCTCAAAGGCCCTGTGTTTGAAATGAACCTTGCTGACCTTAAGAACAATGGAAGTGCATTTAGAAAATACACGCTAATTACTGTGGATGTTCAAGGCAAAACCTGCTTGACTAACATCTGTGGAATGCATCTCAACCCTGACAAAATGTGTCCTTTGTTAAAAAAAAAAAAAAGCAGACCATGACTGAAATTCATCTTGATGTCTAGACTACCAATGGTTATTTACTTTTCTGTTCTGTGCTGGTTTTCCTAAAAGGTAACCACAACTACCAGACAGGGAAGACCTCGTATACTGAGCACCAACAGGTCCATCAAACCCAGAAGATGATGCAAATCATGACTTAAGAGGTAGACAAGTGGGTTGAAAGAAGTGGTCAATAATTGGACTCCAGATAGCACTGGCAAAGACATACAAGTCCTTTTTATGAAAACAAGCAAACAAACCAAACAGCACAATGAAAAACACAAGATACAAAACTGTACTGTCAATAGACGGCAACTAGCTTGCTGCTAAGAGTAGTAAAAGATTAATAGTGGCAGAGGGTATTGCTGTGGACAAACAGGCATCATTTACTTTCTCTTTTCAGGAAAAGCATTTTAACATCTTTATGAGTTACACTCTAAACAGGCTGCTTCAAAGTAAACTTTTTTTAAAAGCCCTTTAAAAAATTCTTCAGTAAATCACCAAATTATCTAGGTGGAACTCAAACTTGTAATCCTCCATCTCAGCCTCCCAAAGTGCTGAGATCAGAGGCATATGCAATGTGCTTGGCTACTTTAAAAAAAAAATTAAATAAATACTTAATGCTAATCGGAAACCAATGAATCACATATCCATATTTAATAATGACTTATTTTCAAATATAAATAATCAGATAACTAAGAGACAGTCTTCTGTCGGCACTTCAAATTTCTAAATTTGTTTATTTATTGAAGAGTTATGGAGTACTTGAAATATTTAACTGATTTTCGTGAATTGAAGTTTCCGCCTATTATTGGTTGGCTAAGCAGCCTTTATTCTCCATAAAACTCCCATTTTGTCCAGGCTGGGTCCTTCTTATGCACAAATCATTGTAAAGACCTCGGGCTAATCTCATTTGCCCAAACCATCTCTTTGGCAACTGCTATTGGGTCAGCGCTGGTCCTGTGGCCCTATGTCAGCCAATCAACGTCTTTATATGCTGATTTCATGCAAGTCTTCCAGGTACTTGCAGATGAAAGTATTCAATCTATTTATCATTTATACTGACACAAACTCTGCCTGATTTTTTTTAATTGAATAAAAGAGGAACTAGGTTAAAATAAAATTACAGCTAGGACAATAAAACATCCACTTTAAGCCAGAAAAATTTAAGATAACAACTTTCTGACATGGATTTATAGCTTTATTAGTTCATAAAGTCAGTATTAAAATTCAATGTAAATTTATATAATTAAATCATATTAATACTAGGCTGTAGTCTATCTCATAAGTAAAATAAACTGTGGTCAAAAATAGTATCAAAAAATCTAGGTTTAAACCTATGATTCTGCATTAAGGGCAGCTCTTGCTGAAAAGTTTGGGAAATTTCTTTGTAGTCATTCTTCCAGCACATGGAATGGCCCTACTCCCTTGACCATTTGCTGGATAGAAGGTAGGAGGAAAGTGATTTTTTGTTTGTTTTTTGTTTTTTGAGATAGGGTCTCACTACATAGTTGAGACTGACCTGGAACTCACTATGTATCCCAGGCTGGCCTCGAACTCTCAGTGATCCTCCTGCCTCAGCCTCCTGAGTGCTGGAATTACAGGTGTGCACCACATCTGGCTGATTTCTTTTTTCTTTAATTAATTTTATTGGTAAAATTGAGATATAGATAATGATTGCATTCATCATAGGAAAGACAATTTCTTAACCCATTCTGAAACAGGAAACAAGCATTTAAACCTCTAGTTTCTCAAGATGGTACAGTACAAGTAAAAACAGTACGCCACAAGTACTACATGTGAATTCCACAGTAAAAGCATGTACTCCCCTCAATATTTAACTTTACAATTCAGAAAAGTTGAACAAATTGAGCCATATATGTGTGTGTGTGTGTACATTCTAGATTCTACAACTATTAATGTTTTACTACATTTACTTTATCCCATATCTGTCCATCTATCAATGTAATTTAATTTTTGGGTGTATTTCAAAGAAGGCTGTAGAAATTACTTGAGTTTTTAATGCAACTAGGAGAGCGATTATGTTGTAATGGCTAGGGTAATTTAATTTTAATAATTTGCAAGGTTTAACTTCTTTGTGTGTGTAAAATGGTTAATAACAAGAAAGATATGTGAAATACCATGAGTGTTCCTGAGAAAAACACATTTAAATGCCCTAAATTAACAACAGATTAACATTAACTACAGAATATGGATTGTTATAAAGATGAGCCATTTTACCTAGTGCTCTGCATTAATCCCAACAATCTGGGAGGCTGAGGCAGGAGGATCAAAAGTCCAAGCCCAGCTCAGGTAATTTAGTGATGTGAGACCATGTCTCAAAATAAAATAAAAAAAAGCTGGGGATGCTGCTCAGGGAGAAAGCCTTGGATTCAGTCTCCAGTGTAGGATGAGGGTATGTGGGTGTTTTATAGAGACTCTTTGAATAATACAATTTGACTCTTAATTTACTATAGTTTTTTCTAGCTACGAGAAAACTATAACCCCTTTCACTTTGGGCATGAATGAGGGTGGGACTTCAACTGTGTAGGAGGAAAACTTTTATGTTCTTAGAATTAACAGATGTTCACATAAAAGTTACACTAGAAAAATAACTGTTTTGTGTTGTGTTACAATTTTAATATCATTATCCTCCTACATGAAAATAGCGTAGTTTTTGTTTTATTCTGTGAGCAGATCATTGTATGCATGCCTAATGATTAGAAAAGCCTTTCTCCAGCAAGCACTGACTTCTTCCCAAAAGTCTCTAAGACAAGAGAGATCTCAAATGTGATCAAAGCTAGCTCCTGAGAATGTTTCCCCAGATCTTGAGAAGAAACTGTTCAGAAGAGTGGCCATGTAGGGTTGGGGTAGTTTTGTTACATTTGTAAAGTAATTTTTAAATTTTATTAGTACATTTGCAATTCATGCAGTTTATAATAATCTTGGGGGAGTGATTCTGTTAAATGGAAGCCAGTGCCACAGGGACTTAGGGACAAAAAGATTGAAGACTGTACAAAGCACAAGGCCTTACTGCTCAATGAAGCATTTCCCCCCCCCCCCAGTGTGGGAGAAGCATCTCAGCAGAAAGAAATGGTTTGGAACATTTACTCTGTTTAACCTAGGCATTGAGATTTTGTTCATTTCTTTGCTTGTTTTGGGGGGTACTGGGAGTAGAACCCCAGTTCTGTGCATGTGGCGCAAGCTCTGTACTGCTGAACAAAATCTCAGCCTTTTTACTTTATTTTCAGATGTTGTCCAGACTGGCCTCAAATTTGCAATCCTCCTGCCCTAGTCTCCCAAGTAGCTAGAATTACAGGTATAGGGTACCACACCTGGACACACTGACTCTTAAGACTTTAGTTTGAGGATTGTAAACAAAGATTTTAGTCTCTAGGCATAGTCGTGCGTATTTTTTCTTCTAATTTCTGACCGTGAATGCGTACACTCTTTTTATTATTTAAAGATTCTCCCTCATCCCCTACGGAGGATTCTAGCAAGAGGTACTGGTATTTTCTGTCTAAGGCTTTCCTTCCTTTTCACACGTGACCTGTGAGAGATGGAGCAGTTACCTTCTTTGACTAAGCTGTCGGTGAAGAGACTGGTGAGGATGGTGGCAGGAAGGGTGCCATTACCCAGCAGGATCCCGGACAGCATCGCCAACTTTGTCTGCTCTGTTTCGGAAAAGGCTTTAAGGAAGAGGAGAAGCTGTGGGTCAAACAAAAGAAACCGTGTCTATAAAGCAAAGGACCGAAGTAGGAGAATACCAAGCAGAACGCACATCCATACCCAGGCAGCGTGCACCCGGGGTGGCCACATGAAGGCGGTTATTCATGGACTTGCACACAGTCAGCTACCGATGCTAGGCAGTAACGAGACAGCACCTTTACTGTGTTCATTCGTGAGTATTCAGGGAAAGAAAGGGACATGTGGAGAAGACTGTGCAGCATTTATATTTAGCACATATAAGAGGTGATCAAAAAATATGGTGAAGGCTAAAGCCTGGTGAAATTAAAGAAAAATCCTTCTAGTAAAAACATACACTGCTCACAATGGGGTGTGTTACAAGTGAGGGACAGTATTTTAAGGGTGATTAATGGCAATGTGTTTTTCACTGCAATATATTAAAAATACGTATATATATAAATTATTTTGAGACGGGATCTTATTATGCAGTTCAGGCTAATCTCAAACTCATGGCAATCCTCCTGCCTCAGCCTTAAATATTTAAACATTCATCTTATTTTCTGATCCTATCATGTACACGAAAAAAGGTAAGAATATAAGACGCACACGACGATCTCAGCAATCATTGACTTTCACATGATTTTCAGCTACAGTGATAACCTCCACATGTCATTGCCTTTTTTTTTCTTTTTGGGGGGAGGAAAAATAGAATTCTCATAGCAAGAAAACAAAACAAAACCAAGCCCCACACCACCACCATCAACAACAAAACAGCAAAGAATCCACGCTGTTTCTGACATCTAATATTCACTTTTCTGAGCTCAGAGGATATAACAATGTTCAGAGTAAGAATGTTGAAAGAGGAAAATATTTTCTAAATTCTTCATTTCTAAAATACTTACATCTAAAACATGCTATTTCCTTCTTTATTTTTTTTGGTACCGGGGATCGAACTCGGGACCTTGTGCTTGTGAGGCAGGCAGTGGAATCACTGAGCTAAATCCCTGGCCCCCAAAACATGCTATTTCTTGATGACAGTTTCAGACTTAGGGATGAAGGCAATGGAAAATGCGCGGTAAAGGAAACTCTAAGCAGGCTGCACACAGTGTTGACATGTGGGCTGGAAACAGCAATTCTGGCACACGAGTGAGTGGGAGGGTGTTGCATGGGGCTTCTGGATCCCCATGCTCTAATCCTTTTGCCAGTTGTGAAAGAAACAGAGAAAGGGGCATCCCTAGAGTACCTGAATGGGCACCAAAGCACATGGGACCACTTTCCATCCTGAGTGTTAAGAGTGATTGGTCTTGTGAGTCACCCTCTGTTTTCCTAACTGTCCTCTGCTATGTGCTTTGACTATGTGCTAGTTTTCTCCATTCTATCACTTCTTAGGCATAGCATCGAGTTCTCCTAGGACTATTATTACTCAATACAGGGACCAGCTGGTCTTTTCATCATTTGGCACCAATGAAAAGTCACCAGCATCAATACAGACAAGTACTTACATGCTAATGACACAATTCTTCCAGTAATTTCTGTGAAGTAGGTAGGGAAATATTAAATTACTATCCCCCAACAGTTAAAGAATTGTTACAGGAAGGTTATGTGATTGTCCAGATATTTACATTATGAATAAGTGGCAGAACTAGGATGAAAACAGTCCAGTCGACTTTCATATATACTTACTAAATTTTCAACAATTTAAAAATTCCCCGAGGGCTGGGGATTTAGCTTGTGGCAGCATGCCTGCCTTGCAAGCACAAGGTCCTCAATTTGATCCCCAGTACACACCCAAAAAAGCCCAAAAATAAAAATTCCCTAAAAGCCAGGGAGCAAAGGAATGAGATCACAGATCAATGCTCCACGGAACACCAGGTGCAGATTAAAAGAATACTCATTCATTTAAAACAATCTACTTAATCATGTAAAATCACTTATAATAATCACTGTATTCAATGGATCAATATTATAAATCATGTTTTTCAACAGATGGCTCTAAAATACAGAAACACTATGCAAAAGAAATCCTTCTCAACAGCTTATTCAATACAGGAATAAATCGCTAGGGATGCTTTTAAGGTTCACTTGAGCGGCGAAGTAGAGATACAAGTGGTAATAGCAGAAAAAATGTTTATTTGAACTTTTATATCATTTTTCTATTTTTTAATTTATTTATTCAAGTACTTGTTATTTTCTGAGCCCTAGGCAGGGTAGTGGACCATTTTCCCTCATTTAAAGTCTTTCCATATAGAAATTAGTATATGGTTGGTGAGTGAGATCATACAATGAAGTATAAAGATGTGAAAAATACACTATAATCACACTCCCTTAGAATTAACATTAACAGTTAGATAAGCATTCTTCCAGATTTTAAGTGCACAAATACATCTAATACACATGTTCTTATATTACAACATGCTGATGGGAGTCGACCTTGTTGGGGACAGGAAGATGGCGGAGTGGTAAGCAGGAAAAAGTAAAAACTTGTTGAGTGAATCAGGTCCATTTCTCATCACACTTTTTGTGCACGAACAGTGCTATGACACCGTGTGAATTCCCCCCCAGTATTTGCATGTTGAAATTTAATTCCCATTGTGAGGTATCAAGAGGGCAGGAACGTAATGCAACTATAATATGTAGAGGTGGGGCCTTCGGGAAGAGATTAGGATTAGTCGGTCACAACTGAATCCTGACTGTGGTAGGAAAGGGAGAAGAGACCAGGAGCTACTCGTGAGTGTACACACTCCTCTTCTCCTGCCATGAGATGCCCTGAGCTCACAGAGGACTCTGCCAGCAAGAAGACCATCACTCAACCTTGGACCAGCAGAACCATGAGCTGAAATAAACTTATCTTCCTCATAACTCACCCATTCTATTGCTACTGTGTTAATAGCTACAGAAAATGCACTAATATAAAGAACTTCAATCCCTAATTAAAAGCAAGAAAGCAGAAACCAAGAAATTACCTTGGCCAAAGTCAAACTACTACCAAGATATTGCTATGCACCTTGCTTTTTTCACTTAATTTCTTTCTTTCTTTTGGTACTGGGGATTTAACTCAGGACCTTACTTACTCTTGCGAGGAAGGCATCTTTCTTTTTTT